TGCATGGCAACTTGGTTGTCACAAAATAAAGACATAGGTTCCGTGTCGATGTTGCCAAGGTCAGCTAGGAGACTTTTTAACCAGATTAATTCATAAGCCGTGGATGCCATGGCTCTATACTCGACCTCAACACTTGATCACACAATCACCGTTTGTTTTTTACTCTTCTATGTCACAAGATTACCACCAATAAATGTACAAAAACCAATGGTAGACTTGCGATCAAGGGCATTACCTGCCCAGTCAGCATCAGTGTATGCCATAATGTGATTTAAGCGATGTTTCTTCATGAGCAAGCTTTTGCCAATTGACCCCTTCAAGTATCTAAGTATCCCTTTGACAATCTCCCAGTGAATCGGTGTGGGTGAATGCATAAATTGGCTGCCAAGGCTTACTGAATAAGCAATGTCAGGTCGTGTCATTGTGAGGTAGATTAGCTTTCCTACCATACGTTGATAGACATTAGGGTTTGAAAATGGTTCACTTTGGACATCTAATTGAAGTTTGCTCATAAGAGGGGTACGTGTTGACTTGCAATCCAACATGTGAGCTTCATCCAATAGATTAAGTACATATCTTCTTTGATTTAGAAACAATCCCTTGGAGGATGTGGCCATTTCAATGCCAAGAAAGTACTTTAAGATTCCCTAATCCTTAAGAGCAAATTGTTGATGAAGAGAGGATTTGAGAGCATTGATTTCTTTTATGTTGTTGCCCGTTATAATAAGGTCATCAACGTATATAAGGACAATGAGCTTTCCATTTGTACCATTGTGAACAAACAATGAAGAATCGGCATGACTCATCTAGAACCCTGCAGCTTCAAGAACTGAGCTTAACTTCGAGTACCAGGCTCGGGGGGATTGCTTGAGTCCATTATAGCCTTGTGAAGTTTGCAAACTTTGTTAGTTTCATGCTCTTGTGGATGTCCGGGAGGAAGCTTCATGTATACCTCCTCTTTAAGTTCATCATGGAGGAATGCATTTTTCACATCCATTTGAAATAGAGACCAGTCATGATTAACTGCGACAGACAACATCATTCGTACCGTGTTTATTTTGGCTACAGGAGCAAATGTCTCCTTGTAGTCAATGCCATAAGTTTGTGTGAAGCCACGTGCTACTAATCGAGCCTTGTGTCTTTCAATACTGCCATTTGAATGGAACTTTGTCTTGTATATCCACCTACTCACTACTGCCATTTTTCCCTTTGGAAGATCAACCACACTCCATGTTTGGTTGTCATTTAGTGCTTTGAGCTCTTCTTCCATTACTTCCTGCCATACTTGAAAGTGAGAAGCTTCATTAAAGTTCCTTGGTTCAACATTAGTGGACAACTGATTGAGAAATGCTGCATATGATGTTGACAGTTTTTGATAGGTTAAAGCTTTGGAGATGAGATGTCTTGCATTGTACGTAATGTACTATTGCAGCCTTAATAGAGGATGCCTGTCTTGAGTAGGATTTCTTTGTGGTGCCAAGATAGGTAGTGGTTCAGTGACTGAGTTTTCTTGATCATGAGTTGTTTCCTCACCCTTACGTTGCTCTGAGAGATGTTTGAGATGAATATTTTGAGGATTGCATTCATGTAGATGTGCTGGGGTAGGCAAAGGAAATATGTCCATAAGACTCTCCCCCTGAGGTTCTTCACTGCAACCTCTGTGAAAAAATGGAGTATGCTTATCAAATCGAACATCTCTTGAGACTCTAATCTTTCCATTATGAGGATTGTAGTATTTATATCCTTTTTGAGAGCTTGAATATCCCATAAACACACTTTTGACAGCTCTAGGTTCGAGCTTATCTCGATGTGCAACTTGAACATGTACATAACAGGTGCACCTAAAGGTTTTGAGGTGTGAGATATCAATATTTCTTCCCTTCATTACTTCAACGGGTGATTTTGAATTCAAAACACGAGTAGGTAATCTGTTGATGATGTAAGCTGCAGTGAGAAGGGTCTGAGACCAAAACCTTTTTGGAACATGCATTTGAAACATAAGAGACCTTGTTTTCTCCAATAAGTCACGATTCTTTCTCTCAGCTACACCATTTTGTTGTGGTGTACCAACACAGCTAGTTTGATGTAAAATCCCATGATTGCTCAAATAATTAGACATGTTATTGGATGTGTACTCAGTGCCATTGTCCGATTGTAAGATGTTTAACTTAGATGAGAATTGGTTTGTGATCAGTTTATGAAAGTCTTTGAAAGCATAAAAAAATTCACTCTTGAAATTTAAGAGATAAACCCAGGTGACCCAAGAGTAATCATCAATAAAAGTGACATAGTATTTATATCCATCAAATGATTTTACACGAGAAGGACCCCAGATACCTGAGTGAACAACCTCAAACATTTTACTAGTTCTAGACTTGGAAGAAACAAAAGGAAGTCTAGTTGCTTTTGACATTTGACATATCTCACACTCATGCGGAGGTTTACAAAAATTAGGAAAGAGTTTGGTCATCACAGGTTCTGAGGGATGGGCCAGTCGAAGATGCCGAAGTTGGTATTCTTAAAGGAGACTTAGGCTGGCAATAGGGTTTTTAATAGGCTTAAACTTCTTGGAAAGATAATAGAGTCCATTTGAGAGAAACCCTTCACCAATCTTCTTTCGAGTAACTCGATCCTGAAATACAACATTGTGATGAGAGAATATGGCAAGGCAATCTAGAGTGGTTGTGATTTTTCCTATGGACAAAAGCTGGAAGGGAAATGAGGGTACATACAAAGTTGTTGACTCGATCTCATCACTTAACAATTTAAGTTTTCCTTTTCCTAGAATAGGTTCTCCTTTCCCATTTGCTACAGACACATGTGTAGATTTAGGCATATTTTGAAACTTATCTAAGCAAGAAGACTTGTTTGTTATATGATCAGTGGCACCTGAGTCTATAATCCAACAATCATGTGTAATTTCATTGGGTGCATTGGAGAGGGCAGTGATGATACCTGAAACATTGTCTTGAGTTGTGGTCTTAGTCTTCCTCATCTTCAGTGGTGCATCCTCTTCTTTGAAGAAAACTGGCAAATTCATTTATCAAATATATTGGATTTGCAGTGAAGTTTGCAATTCCACCTATCGAAGAACTAGTTGAATAGAGAGCCTTTGGAGTGGTTCCTTTCCCTTCTTTATCAAACCTTGGTTTTAACTTCGGGTGCAAGATCCAGCATATTTCCCTTAGATGCCCTTTCATGTTGCAGTAAGTACATTTCCAATCTACCTTCTTTCCAGTGAAAATTTTTTCACCAGTGTGTTTATGATTGCTATGAAAGTCCTAGCCTCAGAGTTAGACTTAGGCTTAATGTGCATGACTTTTCTTCGAGTTTCATCCCTTTGAACAACTTGACAAACACTATTAAATAAGGGCAGATCGAGGGTCATCAACAAATGACTTCGAAGATCTTCATATTCAGCTCTTAGACTTGCCAGGAGTTAAAACACTTTGTCTTCATTAGCTCTTTTAAGGAGCGCAGCAGAATCAGTTGTATGTGGTCGGTACATGTCGAGTTCATTCCACATGGATTTCATGCTTCCAAGATGTTGCACGAAAGATTGGTCACCTTGCCTTAGCCCAACAAGGTCCTTCTTGAGTTGAAATATACGAGCAACATTATTTTTGGCTGCCATACATCTCTTTGATAGATTCCCACAAAATACGAGAGAACTCTGAGTAGCTGAAGAGCTCAGATAACTTAGGTTCCATGGAATTAAGTATCCAAGACATAACAAGTTGATCATTTGCATGCCATGCACCATACGATGTAGAGGATGGTTGAGGTGCTTCAATACTTCCATTGACATACCCTAGCTTCAATCTTCCACCTAGGGCAAGAGAAATGGCACGTGACCACGGTAAGTAATTGAACTCATTTAGTAACACGGAGCATAGACGCAGATTTGGATTGATCTCACCATGAATTATACTGGGAGACGGAGTGTTTAAAGAGCTTGTAGCCTCTTGGCTTGAAGCCTGATCTTCTGCCATTACGGTGAATGAAGAACATAAGAAACAAAGTTTTTTTTTTTGAATGAATCGGACTGCAGAGACAGGACCCTATGGTTCCTGCTCTGATACCATATTGAAATTCAGTTTAACAAAACTGTTTGTATATTTTCATCATATATTGGTATTACAAGTTAGGGCTCTTATAGTGAGACCGAGCCAGGCAAAGAACCCATTGAACAATTACAAAATAGCTACAAGGAAGATACCAAAAGATAAAAAGGCTAGCCCTAGTTGCAAGTTACAAGAAATCTAGAGCTGAAATACTAGAAGACATAAACCCTAGAATTAAGGGATAGTTGGCAACAAAAAAATGACGATTTAGTAGCAGCTGCAACTCTACCCGAGAATGAGGGCTAGAGTCGCAGTTGCAACTTGAACTTTGATGAGTTGTGATGTGCCTTAAGCAGCCTTCCAACATAGACCCAAGTAGACTCAAGCATGCTCTTACCCGGTCAGTTTCAATAGGACCCCATTTTCCTCTTTCCCCTTCTCCAATTGTTGCATATGTTTCTTGATTTCTTTGCATCTTTCTTTTGTCTATCAGTATCTCTTGGGGTACAACTGTTATTCTTGTCATGGGATAAGACTCTTGCACCACATGCTCGAGTTGACATCGATTTCTTCTTGCCAGTTGCCAGACAAAGTTAATGGAAACTTTATGTGCTACTGCAAGAGATATTTTCTATCAAAGTGTGTATGGTGCTGTTTTATCAGATTTTAGTGTGCCATTAAATATTTAAGGGAGTAAAATTTCTGTGTGTAAGACACCGGTCGGAGAAAGGATTTTTTGTATATAGTGTAAGTACTTATATCGATCATGTAGATAGTGTATTGAAAATACGTTGACATACTGATATTAATTGATCAATGTTATCGATAGCTTATTGATATGCTATCGTCAATCCGTCCGTTAATAATGAACATACGAAACAGAAGACTTTGTTTAAATCACTTAATTTTTTCCTTTGGGCTTCTCATTTGTAACAGGATACTGATGTGTTGTGGCTAAGGGACCCCTTCACAAAACTAAGCAAAAACGAAACAGAAGATTTACAAATAAGTACGGATATGTTCTTTGGGGATCCATGGAACGTCAGTCAGTTAATCAACACTGGCTTCTACTACATCAGATCCAATAATAAGACCATTGCACTGTTTGATAGATGGTACACCTCCAAGGACAATGCCACGGGACTAAAGGAGCAGGATGTCCTATTGAACCTAATCCGAGGGGGTATTGTTGACGAGTTGGGACTTAGGGTAAGGTTCTTAGACACCCTATATTTTAGTGGTTTTTGCCAAGATAGCAAGGATTTCGGGCAAGTGAGCACGGTCCACGCCAATTGTTGCCGGAGTATTGTCGCCAAGGTTAAGGACTTGAAGGCCGTCCTCGGGGATTGGAAGCGGTTCAAGAAGTTCATGTCCCACAAAAGGAGTTCTGGAACAAGTACGAGGAGTTTCCAATGGACTGGGCATTTTGGATGTTTGAATTCATGGGCTGTTCCTAATAACTCTGGTAGCAACTCATAAGACAAGAATAATGTATTTTTTTTTATTTATAAGAAGACTTGAGTAATGTTAAGAGAAAGGTTAATCATTCGGAAAGGAAATCGTTTTCTATTTTATTAGGTTCAGGTGAAAGAAGGGAATAATTGAACACTCGTTTAAAATTTGAGGATAAATGCACTACCACTAGAGTTATAAGCCCCAGGAAGTAGTTTGATAAATTCAAATTTAGGTCTCGTTCTTTTTTTCTCCTTTTTTATTTCTTTTAAGATGATCAAAATAAGTCTGTATACGATTCAAATGTGCGTCAAAAAATTAAAGTAGTGTATATAAGAATTTAGAAGTCATATTACTAACAATAGTGTGATTCTTATCGAATAAGTAATAGTAAATGTTGTTCTACACATGAGTACTACAACTAGTGTTCATTGTTAACCATGTATTACTTCAAAACCAAAAGGTGCTCACATTTTTCTTTTTATTTTGTATTGCGTACTACAAAAGTTGAAAATACCACTTATGATAACACTCAACGAACTTTGTTTTACTTCAAGTTATATACCTTCCTTAAACTCTCTAAAGCTCTCGGTTTCTTTTTATATGGATCTTTGATTTTAAACCAATCAAAAACCTATAATAATATATCAATCATGTTTTATCTTAATGAAGAGGTTTATGGACTTTTGTTGTACACGATGCACCAAAACTAAACAAAAATTATGGAAAAGGATTGTTGCCGGATCCTTTTCCTAGGGATTCATAGTTTCTGTTTCATTGTACTCAAATTAATGTCATTTTATGTTAGATTTTAATATGAGTATTGTGTGACAACCCGTTCCTAATTTTACGATTTTATTAATTTTAAAAGAGTGAATGGACAAAAATACGCCTAGAGGAAAGATTGTTGACTTTGGTTAACCATCATTTTGGAACGCGTATGAGCTATTATTTTACCGTAACCTCGAAGTACTTGACGAAATGAACGCGTAGGCACAAGCGAAATCGAATTTGGATCAACGGTAAAGATTTTACGAAACTACGAAACTTGAGAGTGTTTTATGAAATTTGAATTTTGAGTCTTTTATTATTTTATTATTTTTTGAGTGAATATTTTAAATATTTTATAATTTTTCTAGCCCGTGGGGCCCACACCCACACAAACTCTCCACTATCTTCTTGTCATGTTTCCTCTTTTCCACCATTCTTAGACTCCTTTCTCTTCTCTCTACCTTCTCTCTCTGTTACTCTCATTATGCCTCACCTTTCTCTTGTGTTTCACCCTGCAACCACAATGGCGATATCAGTGTCCACCAACTGGCCATCTCCTCTGGCAAACTCCACCAAACCACCACTGGGTTTTCTTTCTCTTCCATCTTCCTGCAATCTTTCTCTCGTCCCTCTCAAACTCTCTTACTCTCCTGTCTCTTTGGGATGCACTGAGATGGTGCAATGGCAAACACCGAACCACCACCATCGTCGTTTCAACAAGTTTCAACCACAAAACAACTCACTCCATTTTCTCCTTTAGATTTTTCACTCTCTAGACTCTGTGCACACTTCACATAAACGTAACGAGGAATGTCGCCATGTTTTCCGGCGAGTTTGCAAACTTCCGACAAGGGTAAGCTATGAAAACAACCTAAAAAATTCTTGGATCATGTTTTAGTACGTGTTCTAGCTTTCTTAAGGGTTTTGATGAGGGTTTTGGTACATAACCACTGTGGGAAGACTTCCCAGATTTGTCGGTGACTTTAGAGCCCTTTTTCAGCCACCGCCAGCCACGGCCGAGGAACCCAATGGTATATTTCAACTCCATGTTTCTTGGGCTTCATTGTGATATATTGGATGACTAGGTTTAGTAAAGTTTTGTGGTTGATCGGAGCTGGGTACTTCTGGCCTTCTTTTTCGTTGGGTTCGGCGACTTGTGAGTCCAAACCTTTGGCCAACCTAACCCAATTCTGAAATGGGCTGAGTATATTCTTTGGAATATTCCTTGTGTTCACTTTTTTTTAAATTTTCTCAAAAACCCTCTTAGGCTAATTTTGACTTTTTGTTAACTTTTTACAAAATTTGCCCGGGACCCTTCTTAGCGTATTTCTACACGCTGATTCTGAATCCGTCGTCAATTTCTTCAAATTTAATTGTTTCAGTAGAGTTTTACTAACATATCCCAATACTATGGTTAAGTGCGATTACTATCGAAGACTCCAACTTTCCTAGTTTGAACGGCTAAGACCTTGTAACTATCTGTGAGTGGGTCTTTGCTTTTAAATAGTATTATTTATATAGTTTCCATTTATATATTTGAAAAAGAATTTCTTACGTATGCCTAGATTAGTCTAATGTTTATAAAAATTAGCGAAATGACGGAATTTACGAAATTATCCTAAATCCTACGAGATGCACAGGTATGCATACTTTTGTGGGATTTTAATTATGGCCATGATTAAATTTTATTGAATAGTATTATGTCGACGTAAATTAGTGATTTACCGCTGTATGATTTTATTTACGTTATCTGCTCATCGTTGTTGCACCGATATTAGTACTCGCCCAGGCCAGGGCTAATCTTCCACGTGTATGTTCACAACGTATCGTACACTCACTTTGGATCCATTGTAGGTGCCAGTCCTGTCCTAGATTGCTATAGGCAATTAGGACTCATATGTGATGTGCATTGCTCCAATCTTCACGTGATTGTAGTACTAGAGCATAAATCATTATTACACCCAATCATGTTCATGTCAGAATACCTATGCATGAACTCGTGTGTCAGCATATGTCGATAAGCACTCGATGTGATATGTTCATTTCTGCGAGATATTGTGATTACTGGTAGTTATATGCCTATTTACGTATTTTGTGATGTATTGAATTCTTGAGATATTACAGGCTACGGTAAGTGTTTTCATACTTTACGTAGTATGTATATTTGGAAACTATACTGGTTTTACGGTGAAAGGTTATAATGTTTTCAAAAAGATTTTTAGAAAACTTTATTTTTAGGCCCACTCACCCTTGTTTTTCGCTCGTCTAGGTTTTAGTGCTGAGCTTTCGTGTCGACAAGATTTCTTGGCAAATCTTGGTATAAGTGGTTACCTTCGATGGTATGATTCTCAACCTACATAACTGTACTTTACTTATGCTCTGACATCACATGTGAAATGGGTTCATTCTCGCTCACTAGTGCACTCTTATATTTAGGCACTTTAGGTATAAATTTATTCATATTTTCCACATCACTACACTTATGGCTTCGTCACCATTCTGATGTTGGCCAGCACAGCTCGATTTGGAGTCCAGTGGACATTTCGACTCGAGGTGTGTCAGTTTGATATCAGAGCATAAGTTTGGGTTGTATTTCGTTCATCACACGCATGATGTAAGCATTCTTGGTTCTTGAACCTAAGTGTTAAATCTTGCCACCTCGTCGAATGAAAAACGTGTTAGCTTTTCCCTAAGTTTTGGGGATTTTAGACGACTTATCGACGTTCTATAAGAACATTTTGGGGACCACCTCTAGACTTTAAACAAAGAACCTTCCTACCAATGAAAATCCCGATTCGGAGATGAGTTTGTGGCCCTAAAGTAGGGCTATTGTGTCGGTAATTATGTACCACCGAAGGCTTTACTCATTAATTCCACTACTATTATCTCGTCCTCTTTACCAACCCTTTCAAATTAGGAAACCAAGAATAGTTTTGATTCTTTGGCAGTATCCGTTAGTATACCATCTATCAGAATTCCTACGAAGTTTACTTTCGTTGAGATTCCAAAAATGTCTTGAGCGACAACCTGGTGCTAAAGTGGTAGCACTCGACGGAATAACATCTGGGAATGTTTTCAAACGTACAAATGATTGTTCCGGATCTTCAGGAGGAAGATTGACTTCTGTTTAAGTTCGTTCTAAAGTAGATTATTAGCAAATTCCTTTTTTCGGCCTTAGGACATTCCAACCAATACTAGTTTTCAGAGTTTCTTTTGGTGCTGTACTCGTGATTTCAATGAGCATAGGCACAGGTGTACAAGTTGTTATACCTACAGTCAGTAGAAATCTTCGAAGTAGTAAGCATTTTCCCTAGAATTAATGAAACCACCTCACAAGACTAGTTCCTTACCAATCATCTGAAACCATTTACCCGAGCGGGCTCTAACCTGGAATCAGCCTACGGTGGCGCTACTAATTGACGATATTATCCGATATCTAGGAACTTTCAACCAGTATTCAGACAATATGATTTTTGATATTGGACACATGCTAGTATCTGGGAATGATACCTTTATGCCAGAACGATGGGTAACGAGCAATATCAAAAATAGCATGAATGCGTTAATTAGCGGCATGATGGTCAGACTGATTAATAGTGATTACCTGAGCCAAAGAAATAAAATCGTGGAAATTAGAAGCAAGCCTTGTAGGAAGATCGTGAACTCGCAATTGTGTTAACCATTTTACCCATCTAGGTAACCAGAACATTCTCGACCAGTCACATTCTTATCACTTCCACAAGCAAACATTAGAATTGTAACACAAGTCGTAGAGAAAGGAAGTAGTATTATATGTTTCGAGGACATATACCTTTGGCGTCATTTCTCAAAATTTTACCTGGGATATCACCAAATGGTGAAGTGAAGGACACCATCAATCCACTTTCTCATACTACACCAGTTTTTCTTGCTTTTTTTTCAAATAAGTCCTACATCATTTCGAGAAATTAGTTATTAAAGCTTATCGATTAGGAATTTATCCATCCAAACACCTTATCTAGGGAATCTCAAACTTATCTGCGAAGGCCAAAGGCCAAACCTTAGGATCGTACCTAGATTTTAGCAACATAATCGAGCGACGATTAAAAACTGTTAACCCCTACTTTAAGTTGATGGTCTCTCTAACCAACTTTTGGAACCTGAGTTTTCTTCCATAGCCTAACGAATTCATTGTAGTCTTACAGGCGACTTTCCCACCTACTTCAGCAACGAGATCAAATTTTCTAAGCACCGATAGTCAGCTTTATACCAAATTTCTCAAATGTTATTTTTGTTTAAATTGGTACTTTTCTTGGGATACGTGATCTCAGCAGACTATATTCTTTTCTTTTTCCCA